GGTCGCTCCCCGGGGCCTCCGCCGTCACCGGTTTAACTCGGGCTACAAATAGCGACTCGGCAAACGCCTTGCCCGCCGGGTCATTTTGGGTTGTCTGCGGTTCTTTTAAGGGCGTTACCATCGTGAAGCCGATCGTGTATGGAAACGTCGCGCGGTATTTCGGGAAGAAAAGGGAAGAGGATGGTCACACTCACCAGTGGACGGTTTACGTCAAGCCTTACAGAAACGAGGTGGGGGGGTCGCCCCGACGGCGACTTGGGGCGTTAAAAAACGGGATCTGAGGGAAGGGCGGGAGGTTGGTGGTTTCCAAAACCAAAAAAACCCACAAAAAAGAGAGGGAAGACAATTCTTAAGGTTTTTTTAGTGTGATCTTCCAGGCTGGGGAAAACTGGAGAGGACTCATGGGGACAAAATACAGACCGGCACGTGCGGCAGTACTAATTTTTGGATTTAGTGTCTCGCTTTTCAAGGCAGCTGCATCAGAAGAAGTGATAGGTGCGTGGGGTGGGTGAATAAAGAGCGCTTGCTGTGTAAACAGTGACGTTTCCATTTTAGGATATGTCAGCCTATGTGAAAAAAATACAGTTCAAGCTGCACGAAAGCTACGGTAATCCCCTAAGAGGTGAGTCTTGTGTTTGGGCATTTGTTCCTGGAGCTGGGATTTTGATTGGTCCCACTGAGGCTTTGTCACCTCTGTCGACGCTTCTGTGTTTCCCGCTGCAGTTGTTACCAAGCCACCGTACGAAATCACCGAAACAGGCTGGGGTGAATTTGAAATAATCATCAAGATATTTTTCATTGATCCAAATGAAAGACCTGTGAGTATGTTATGCTTAACTAATTGTGGTGGTCTCGGGCTGTGGTGTAGGCTGTCACTGGTCAAAATAAGTCCCGTCAGCCCTGGAAGTGGTAAAGCCTGTGTATCTAATGGTTGGCCACGTTTTCTTGGTTCTGTGCTTTACTGCTGCCGTTCATGCTGGCTCTTCCCACGCTTGGCTACTCTGACGCCTTCTGATACGTGGCCACGTGTTGCGCCGTACCTGGACTGAGCATGTACTGAGGCCTTCTCTTCTGGTGGCTTCTTCATTAGAGGATTTTGGGATGTTTTTATTTTTTGCCTACAAGATTTGGTGAAAATCAGTGAAAAAGCAGCAAAGGTGCTATGCTAGCATTAGTCTCTCCCCTTGGAAAACCAGGTTAAGACACTTCTCTAGTTAAGTAAAGCATTGTAATCAATTCCCTTCTTCCCATCCTGTGTGTTAGGCCTATCTTGCACATTTGTTTATCCAGCTGTAGGTAGGAAACTCTATTACCTTATTTCAGGGGAAGGGGTTGTTTATTTCTGGAAAGACTTGAGTTGCTTCTGTCTCATGAACTGCAGCAATCCTTTTGCTTTAGCCTTTTTTTGCCAAAAGAAGGGAAAATTGAATTTTATCATCTTCTCGAGTATGTGAGAACTGACACTAGACTAGGAGGGGCTTTCCTGTGCTCAGCGGCATTCTGACTCATCATGTTCACTCCGTTCACAGCTTGACCAAGCTGTCCTAAAGTTGGTTGAGTGTTTTTTCTCTTTGTGGCTGTTCTTGAAAGGCTCTTTTGGTGCCTGTCGTGTTCTTCCTTTCCAGGAAGTACCAGCTGGAGTAAGGTGTCGCTTTCTCCCACGACCATTCACGGGCCTCTTTGTGAAAGGGAAGATTGGTGGGCTGTGCCCTCTTCCCAGGGCATGGTCCCAGTGGTCGGCAGTTCCTCAGGGCTGGGCAGAGGGCTGCTGCTCCTCTCCAGCTCCAGCCATTCCAGTGCAGTAATGGACTGGAACAAATAATCTGTTTGGAAATGTTTAAGAGAAGGTATTCCTAGTAGATTTGTACACCCATCCTAAACCATTTGCCCAGGCGTTCTCCAAGTATCAAGAAGCCGTTGGACAGCTGGCGTGTTTTAATAATGAATATTAAATCTAAGTAATTCTACTGAAGTGACATGACGTTTATTTTTGAATTCCTAAAAGAGTGTAAGATCCTTTACAAGTAGTAAGAACAGATGCTACCTGTTGATATCTAGAAGAAGATTTGTATTTCCCTGCAGTTATCTAGCTAATGAAATTCTCTCTTTGTATAGGTAACCTTGTATCACTTGCTGAAGCTTTTCCAGTCCGATACCAATGCCATCCTGGGAAAGAAAACTGTAGTTTCGGAATTCTATGACGAAATGGTATGAAATTTTTTTAACGTAACCCTCACTTTATGTTGAGAAGTATTAGTGATACCGTGTATTTTTCTCCTTCATTAGATATTTCAAGATCCTACTGCGATGATGCAGCAGCTGTTAACAACCTCTCGTCAGCTAACACTGGGTGCTTATAAGCATGAAACAGAGTGTAAGTTGAAAACTAAAATAATCTTAGAAATAAACAGTAGTTGATTTTGCATTCAGTGTTTTTTTTTTTTTTTTCTGGATGTAACAGTACAATAGATTTGGATGCTGCTAAAAAAGGTGGTATTTTTGCATTAAACTTCAGCTTTTGCAAAGATATTAATACTTACTTGAAAACTTCTAAGGTTTTCTGATCTGTATGCCTGGTGGGGAAAAAAAAAAGAATTACAAGTTACTCTATGTAACAGTGATGACATCATCTACTTAGTTTAATGTCTTTGAAATGAATTAAAAGAGAGAGTAAACTAAGGCCACTGTATTTGTGGCACACTTCTGTTCCGCTCATTGGGGTGTTAACTGCAAGCAAAGATCACGCCCTAAGCACCAAAGTATGGAACAGTTAGTACTGTTTTAGTCAAAGCAGCAACCCTTTGGGATAAAGAGTAGCCTCTGAAAGCTCTTCCTGTCTTTTTCCCTTCTTTCTAATTTTTTAACTGTAGGTCATTTCATAAAGTACTTCTTCAGTATAGCTTAATGTCCTCTGCGTCCTTCTCTAATCTGTCTTTAAATATGAACCAGAATATTAAGGGAATTAAAGAATGAAATAAAAATACATTGATTTATAAAATACAATGCATTTAGTGATTTCTGTTCTCATCTTCTGAATTTCATCTTCTGTCTTCTGCTCTCGGAAAGCCAGTGTAATATTTATCGGGCCCAAATCCTACCTTGTTAGTTCCCAACTCCAGTGTCATCATAGTCTGGCCTTTGGCTTATCTGCATATTCCCGTGACAACAAATGTGGTATTTTTAGATGCCTAGCGCTAACAGGGGCTGTGAGTTTGAAGCTCTGCAAAGTTAGGGTTCTGATTTGCTCTGTGTCTGTTTGGGTGTGTCGACATGTGAGCTACTTGTATTTTCTGCCTCAGTTCAGACAGTCTTGAGGTGGATTTTTGTTACATTGCGTGTTGTTATGGTTTATGTGTAGAAAATGTTTAATAATTTGAATCATAAAAAAGTCTTGTCGGAATTTAAACTTTTCTCACTTAAAATTTCTGGATGTTTCTCCTGAATGTAGATAGAAATTTTTAGGTTTTGAGTTTTTTTAATGAATATATTTCCCTAAAATGTGCTACTGAAGCAAATAAAAATGAAGATTTACTTTTATTTTGCCACTGCCCACAATTAGGTAATGTATGGGATTTGAAGGGATATCCATGGCCTCCATAGATTTGTTGGCTTAACCAGCTTTGTCCAAAAACTTGTGCATGAACAAATAAACAAAGAAAAAAAGGACACCTCACCAGATGTCCTAATGTCATATATTTGTAAAAGCAAAGGCAGCACCACTAAATCTTTTAGAGACATAAAATTAAACTGCAACGAAACGGAGAGTAGAGGAACCATGGAATGGTTGAGGTTGGAAGGGACGTCTGGAGGTCACTTGGCCCAGCACCCTGCCCAGGCAGGGCCGCCTACAGCTGGTTGCCCAGGACTGTTCCCAGGTGGCTTGGGAATGTCTTTAAGGATGGAGATGCACGCCACTGTCTGCCCTGGGCAGCCTGTGCCTGTGCTCGGTCACCCTCACAGTACAAAAAGTTCCCTGATGTTCAGAGGGAGCCTCCTGTGTTGTGGTGTGTGCCCACGGCCTTGCGTGCTGTCACTGGGCATCACATGTAAATTACTTGTAATTCTCTCTTAATTTCCCATTTGTTTGTTGTGACTATGTCAAGTTTTTTTCCCCCACCTAATCTTTAAAAAAAGCTGGAAGTGATATAGTGAATTATATAATTCCACCTACAAAACTTACAGACTGAATGAGGCCACAACACAAGCTTTTCCTTTTTTTAATTCCAGGGTTTTTTTTTTGATACCGTTTTGACTGCAGTCATTGAATCTCTAAGGCTAACGGTAATAGATTTTTTTTTTTTTCAGGACACACACCATTCAAACTTTTCATGGTACTTACAGTACTTATTTTTCTTTATCACCACCACAGTTGCAGATCTTGAAGTGAAAACCAGGGAAAAGCTGGAAGCTGCCAAAAAGAAAACGAGTTTTGAAATTGCTGAGCTTAAAGAAAGACTAAAAGCAAGTCGTGAAACCATCAACTGTTTAAAGAATGAAATCAGAAAACTTGAAGAAGATGATCAGTCTAAAGATATGTGACGAGTGTTGACTGGATGAAGAGGCTGTACTGAAAATGGGAGCGCGTCAGTGATGGAATTGTGTGTGCTCTCTTGGATCTGTAACTGAGACCATGTGCACTTCACTGGCAAACGATTGAAGTATGTGGCAATTGACTTCATAAATGGGAGAAAAAAGGAAGAATGTATCCTTGTTTTAAAATCTCTGGGTTCTTAATGATTTATTTCAAGTAGATTTATCCTCAAGTAGAAGAGGTCTTGCAGACCATACTACTTCGGTGGTTTTGTTTTGGGTGTTTTTTTGGTTTGGTTTTTTTTTTTTAACCTGCATTTGAGTGGTATATAAAAACTTTGTATTAAGTCTTGTATTAGTTCAGTGTGATTTTACAAAATGCTGTTTACTTTTTTACTTGGTGTTTTTTTTTTCCTACTGATTGTTTAGAAATGCATCTTTTAAAGCTGAAAATAAAATATGCATTTTTTAATTTTAATATTTTTTTTGTCGCTGTCCGGCTGTGGGCTTCAAGAACAATTGTAAATAGCATACCCTGATTTAAGGCAGAGGTTGAAACAGAATGGTATGCAAGTTGCTTAAGTCTGGTTACAGGGATTTCTGCATATCTGTGTTGTCAGCACAGTGGAAAAACTTTCTGAAACCAGGATTTTAAGTAACTTGTATATCTACAGATAAGAGTTTCTAGCCCCACATCTGCTTTAACACATATAACTGCATCAATTATATAAGCTATGCTCAGAAGCGGGAAATTATTCCAGGCCTGTTTTGTAGAAGTTAAATGCAGTACAGTACAAATATTAATTCTGAAGTAACTAGCAAGTGTTCCCCCTGATAAATCAGTATGCGATTGTTCGCCTCTAACAGCTGCTTTCTTGTTTTCCTTTGTGGAGGGAAAAGAGCCTGATCGACATGGCGCTACCTCAGGTTTTGAAAAGGCTTGCGCCTCTTTCCTGCTGCTTCAGGATCCCATGTTGTGGCAAACTCCGATGGAGAATCAAGCATCCCACATCCCCTCTCCCACAGGAAACAGTGTTACCAATGCTTTGAGAACAAAGCTCTAATTTCTTCCTATTTGAAACAGGTGGTGATTGGCTTTGACCATGGCTTAGTAAAGATTTAGAACTGAAAGAGTTTCCACACTTGATACGTAGACTTAAGCTGTTAATTAAGAAAAATAACTCTTAAAGCTTGGCAGATTTAGTTTATGGTATTCCATGTATACATAGGTTGAGGAACAGCTAGCAGCGGTGGTGTCCATGCAGATCCTTCCTAGCACTGCAGACTGCAGGTTTTTCTGGCTACTGAACTGGTTTCGTTTATTGATTCAGTGGCCCATTTCCTTTTAAGCAGTAGCTGGAGAAAAACGAGCTAGGCAGTTTCAGGACGGCAGCAAATGGCATTTTCAGAGCTGTGCACTGAAAACAAGACTTCCGTGGGCCAAGTGTATTACATGTTACAAGGCTGAAAAAACACTTTCCAGTGAAAAGTTGAAAAATAGTCATATAATTTTCTTTTATGGTACTTTAGTATTCAGAGTGTTTATTTGGCAGCTTCTTTGCCTTTGACAATCATCAGTAGCAGATTTTTAAGGAAAAATGCAATAGCGTTAGCACAAAGTGAGACCTTCCAACTACATTCTCTCAGCTTCGTGCAGATTTATGCTATTTCCCGAGGAGGTTTTTAAGGTCTATTTGTACATGCTGAAATAAAATCAGGAATGGAAAGCACAGCTTTGGTGATACTAGGTTATATGCGATACTATCATCTTTGTATTTCTCAGTTAAAATAATACTAATAGAGTAACCCAGATGGAAGATGGAATAGGTTCTGCAAGAGCTGTGACTGACAACAACAGATCTGCTGCAACTGGCTTGAACAGACCAAAGGAATGGAGCGGTATCTTTTGAACCCAACAGTGTCATAGGACACTGAAGTACTCTTTTTGCTTACATCCTTAATAACATCCCATAACCCGCCTTGTATTCAGCTTTACAGAAGCGGTGATCCTGGCTCTGCTGGTAGTAGCCATCAACATGCTTGACCAGTGATGTAACCTTTGTTTGTGGTTAGCAGGTTTTTTTCCTCCCAGTTTTCTTTTCAACTCTCCGTAATTTTTTTTCCTCTCCTTGGTGCTCTCCGTAGAGATCACACCAGAGTCATTAGGTTCCCTGATAATATTAAGGCAACAAAACAGTCCTAATAGCTGCCTGTGCTGAGCAGTTACTGTTGATGGAAAACAGGAAGGCTATCTTCTGCTGTACCAAGTTCCTTACTATGTTCCGTGTTGTCACTAGAAAATAACTTCTTCAGATGCTAAGAAAGCAATTGAGCTCTGTATTGGGCTGCAATTAAATTCTGGAAAAAGTTCATGAGAATAAAGTGGGTTAGGATTTTGGCTCCATAATTTATGTGAAAGAAAGCCCATGTCCCTGTGTTTGAGAAGTAAACTTGCAGCTGCCTGGCTCTCAGTTATAGACAGGTTATGTTTGGGCTCCCACGTTCTGCCAGTGAGGGCCGTTGATGTGAGAACTGGGGACAGCACACGTACACCGCAGTCGCACAGTGCGGTGCTCACCTTCTACTGCCTGTCATTCTCAAAGTGACTAGAACAGAAACAGAGTGGGGCACCTGGGGGCACGGTTGCGTTTGACCGCCGCTGCCTCGAAGAAGCGAAACCCAGAGACTGCACTCCGCTTTATTTCTGGCAGCCCTCTGAAGATTCCAGACGAACAGTTAGGGTTTGTGCTTGCCAGGGGTGCTAACTTCAACGCTATTTATATTGCTGAGACTGACTTCAGCCTGTGGTTTCATCCCGAGTTACAACCGTGAAACACAGATGCATTTAAACCTGCTTTGAAAAGGAGGGAAAAAATCCCTCATGGTGCTATAGGTACAGCTGATGTCACCGAACCGCACAGTAATTTGTCCAGTTGCCTGCACTGCACTTTAGGCTTGAAGTTACCCCTTGGCAGGTAAAGATAAAACGTGGTTCTTTATAATTTTTACCAATGAGCGGTGTTTACTTCAGGCATCAAACATGCAAAACGGGTGGCTGCTGTCTCAGCTGCTTCCTCTATAAGGACGTGGGGGTCTTAGGTATTTTAGCTATGACATTCGTAGTCATCACAGTGATTTCAAACACTGCTTACTCACCCGCTACCCGGTGTTGTTTATCGCTACTCCTTCTTTTATCTAGCTCCATCTCACAGAACTTAGTTCTTTCCTTTTGGGTTTGGCATGCTACAGGTTACAGTTAGACTGGTAAGCTCTGAAAGGCTGTGCCCAGCAGGTTGCTCATCACAAGTGCCATTATCTGACAGGAGATGTGTAAATGCACTTCATTCAAAGATTTACTGGAGAATTTTGTGGTTAGTAGAGTTGGGACTGGAAGGAACATTAAGTCACCCTGTTCCTTTTTCTTTCTAGACAGATGCTGGTAATAACACTAACCTAAAGACACTTCTGCTGCTTATGCATTTAATCCATGTTAAATACATCCACGTTGGTTTGCTCCTTAATGGGCATACGGATTTAAGAGCACTTCAGGCTGTTTTCAGACACCAGGTGGTTTTCCAAACACCAGGTGGCAGGTATGTCCAAGATATTCTCCAGTCTCAATAGCGTTTTAATTGCAGGGATTCTGGCAGATCTGTGATCTCTTTGGTTGATGTCATTTGCTTTGAAACTCCATCATCTGATTAGACAACTTCTGTTTGTTTCTGTAGAGATGACCAAATTATCCCTTGCATGTTATGAAACTGTCCAGCAGCCTTGTGAGCAAATGCAGCGTGCTGTGCCAGGAAGCCAGAAAAAGAGTGTGAAGGTATGTTTGCAACTTCTGTTCATTTGGCAAGGGAAGCAGCTTTCAAAACACAAACCTCTGGGGCTGTTTTCAGGGTTATTTTGCTTTTTCAGGCCAAGACTGTGTGACAATATGAATGAAGAAAACCTAACTTCAGTTCTCTGCTGGACTGCTTGCGCTCAACTGCAGGTGCAAAATGGCAGGATTTTCCATAAGTAATTAATTTTTTAAACGTCCTATTAATAGTGATAATAAGCTTCTTTGACAACTTACTGCTTAATGAATACTATGAGTGAGCCTTTGGCTTCCAAGTATGTTGAAACTTTTAATTTCCCTGAATATAGAATGGAAGAACAGCTTAAGTAAGGGCAAGAAGAGAGAATGAGGATAGTAAAAAAGAATAGCAGCAACGAGAAATTTTTGTTATAGATGCGTTCTGATGTAATTAGTTGGGATTCATTTTAACATTCATATATATATGTGTACTGTTACCACGTTCAAATTATTTAAGCTGGAACATGAAATCATGGAAGTTTCTAGTGAAACAGTCTTACCTAGGAAAACAGCTAATACACATCCAAAATTAAAATTTACATTTCAATTTTCATAGGAATAACCTCTTGAATGCCTAGTGATTAGGCCATAAAAAGAACTCATTAGCATCGGAATATGCAGTATTTGTCCTAGTCCCTCTCTGAGAATTACTGTACTTTTTAAGGTGTTCATGTGTTACACGAACAGCTGGCACTTCTTATTCCCCAGTTGTGGAGAATTCTGTGCTTTGGGATAGAAACCAATTTCATCTGATCCACTGGTGTCTGCTTTGGGAACACTTTCACCTGAAGTGATCAGTAGCCTTTTTTCTTCAATGTTTATTTCTGCAGTGTCTGGTGAATCTCGCATTTTTTCCCACTACAATTCCGCTTTGTTTCAAATAGTGTATTTCATTTAACCTCTGATCCAGAATGTTATTAAAACGCATGGTGGGACATGCCTCTAAGTTTCTCAGTGAAACATTCTGGTACCTTTATTCATAGGATCAAGAAACAAGACATACGGCTAAGAAAGGTTGTCTTCACCTGAACTGATCAAATGAAACTGCACCTCAGTTTAATGACTCTAAACAAAAGATTTGAGAACATTTTGCAGTTAAATCATCGTTTCTAAGCTTCCTATATAGTGTTTGGAAATGGAGCGCCCTCCTATGTAGTGTTTGGAAATGATCAAAACACCCATTGCTTTGTAAAGCTTTGTAGTTGCTCTGAATCTTCCTTTTTTAGTACTTATCAGCAAGAGCTAGGAATTGCAGTGTGGTTAGATGAACGTGGGTATTGCC